GGGCGAGCCTGGTGCATGCGGTCAAGCGGGGAAGGCCCAACCAACAAGCATCCAGCACGATGAACAAGGAACCAAGCTCCAAGGCCAAACGCACAACATGATGGCAACATGGCTGGACTCCGGGAAGGAGACCAGCTCATCCTTCTCGGGCTTGGGGATACGGGTGGAGGCCAGCAGGCGCGAGAACTGGCTCATATCCAGGGGATAGGCTGCCGATGGTCGGGCGGGAGGGGAGGGGGGGGGGGGCATGTCAGTGCTCCGTCGGGTCCGCTTGCCGCAGGGGCAGAGACAACGCAAAGCGAAGCCCGAGGGGGGGGGGGGGACAGAAAGAAGGAGACGCACCGCCAGTCCCAATGGCCGCCAGGGTGGAAACCTGCTCCGGAAGCACGGCCTGCAGGGACTCGAACCAGGGGGCCTTGCTGAGCTTGGTGTTGGTGTGGAACACCTCCGGCGCGAGGACCGACTCGGCCAGCGAGTTCCGGAAGCGGATGGTACTACGGATGATGGCAGCCGCGCGCTCGGCCTGGCCGGGCTTGTTGGCCGACGGCATGAGCGTGATTTGCGGGTTGTAATTCAATGGCAGGGGCGCCCGGTCGCGCAGGTACATATCGTACCAGAGGCCTGGCAGGGTCCCAGGTAGTGGCCGGAACGTCGGACGGAGGGGGCGAGGAGGACAGAGGTCCGGCAGATCATTAGCGGACGCCCACATGTGGAGGACATGGCCACCAGGGCGGGAGCGGGATTCGGCGCACCGGAAATATAGCTGGTGTGCTTGTTCTTCTTGTCATTGGCCACGAGCTCATGGTGCAGGTCCGGGCCGACACCGCGGAAGAAGTCCACCACCGCGATCTTGGTGGAGGACAGCTGCTCCGGCGTCAGGAGCGGCGTGACGGAGTTCAAATACTGCGCCGAGGCATGACAGGGAGACGGGCATGGCCGAGGGGGCAGAGGGAGGGAGGGAGGGAGGGGGGGGGGGTCGGTGAGTCAGGGAGCCGGCCGGCCGCCAAAGAAGAGCCAAGACCATGGAGCCACGGCCACCCACGGGCGGAGGGAGGACGCACGCGCTGAACGGTGTTCTCCAGCTTGGGGATAGGCAGACGCAAAAGCGAGGCCTGGTAGTGCATGGTCGGCAGCGGGGACTTCGGGTGGATGTAGTCATCATCACCGCGGACCGGGGCGGCGGCCGAAGAGCTGCGACAGGCATGGAGGTGAGTAGGCGTCGGGGGATGGGTCCAGCAGGATCAGGGTGAAAGAGCGGGGCACGCACAACTGGCGAGTGACAGCGCCAGCCAGGGCGGGGTACGATGCCCGGGGCTGGAGGACAGCAAGGCGAGCAGTGGCGGGAAGCATGGCAAGTGTGTGCGCGCGTGCGGAAAGCAGGCGAAGGCAAAGTCGGATCGCGGATAGCGCGATGGGGGGGGGGAGGAGGGGTGGGGGACAACGGAGGGAAAAAAGCTGGTGCCGGTCTCCGAGGGCGAGAGGGTCAGCTCACCAGGGCGCCTCTTTTCCCACCCCCGGGCAGTGAAAAATAGACAACAAACACTGGGTCCTCGCCGGGACTATTTCACGATGCCGGCGGCCGGCAGACTGCCGGGCTACTTCCGCTTGGCCGATTGCGGCCAGCTGCACCACACCCTCTAGCCGGCAGAAGCCAGTCAGCCAGCTGGCCAGGCCCGTCCAAGGGGGGCGGGGGCAAGGGGCCGAGCCAGAACATCGCTTGCTCATCGTCCCAGCCCAAGGGGCGGCCGAGAGCAGGGCCGGGGGGTTCGCGCTGCCCCGCACCAGTTGTTGGTCCCTTGCTTGGGCAGGCGCCGAATCGCCGGGGAGCGTGAAAGTCGCCTCATCTGGATGGTCACGCGCAGCCGATGCCCCTGGCGTGACATCCATTTCCCCGCGTGATGACCCATTGGCTGGGGCTGTTTGACACCCTAGACCGGCGGCCCGGAGTGAGCTCCCTTTTTTGTCCACCCTCACGCGCCTTCTCGGCCTTGGTGTTCCCGGCGCCTCGTTTGTCTGTCTGTCTGTCTGTCTGTGCCAGCTGCGGGGCCTTCTGGGAGGGGGAGAAGGCGCGGGGAACCAACCACACGCAATGCCCCGCCTCCCCCCCCCCCCCCCCCCCCCCCCCCCCCC